ATACAATTTGATGTTACAAAATGAGGGTGCAGGTCCATTCAGTAGACATCAAGGAATATCATACCGTTTGTAGAATTAGGCTGACTCCAAACAAAAAAGTTAAACGAAAAGTACGATAATGTATACGTATACATTACGTTCACGTAATCGTACTTTTCGTTTAACTTTTTTGTTTGGAGTCTCAGCCTGATTCTACAAACGGTATGATATTCCTTGATGTCTACTGAATGGACCTGCACCCTCATTTTGTAACATCAAGTTGTAGAATTTTTATACGAAGCAAATATTATTAAAAACGAGTGTAGGTATTACAGACAGCTTTAGGATCACCTTAATCGATTATTTATTGGGAAATTTCCAATTTTAACTGAATATACATACATGTGGCATTTGTAACGAATGAGTTAATAAGAAAGACGTCCTCGTTCGCGAAGTACGAAACACTAAAGAGCCCGTTGTTGAGAGATTTCTGGTATTCCTTGAACACCCTATATAGTGCTACGATTTACCCTAATCCTCCTTGGAGCGATCTATAGTCCACCGGTCGCGGCGCGCGACGTGACGACGATCGGAGCCGGCGTTCCGATATCGCGAACGGTTTCGCGGCATCAAGGCCGCCTCCTTACCCGAGATCTTGTCTCGCCTCGATGACTCACGCCTAGCTTGGCCGCTGCTTGCTGCCTCGCCACTTCCTTCCACCTTCGAGGTTGTCCGAGAGACCGACCGCGGCCGCCTCCGCCGCCGCTTCTTGCGCTTAGCTTAGCATACCTTGTAGAGAGACGGTGTCGACCGTCGACGGCGACTGTGGCCCCGCCGCCGCTGCGCGCGGCCACCGGCCACTTTTTTGCCCGGGGAAATGGAGATCGCGATGGGAAGAGGAAGCATTGCCCAGCATCGCCGCGCGCGGAGGTCTGTTTTCTTGCGATACGTTTAACCCTTTAGGCCTGGCAAGTAGTAGTGGTGATGGTAGTATATAGTAATAGTAGTTCCACCCGGAAGACTCGTCCTTCTGAAATTCTACCTCGAGTCGCTGTGGTAGTCCGTGGCGAGATGGTTTCAGGGTGATATCGCCGGACTTCAAAGTAAGAAATCGGTAGACGTTGCGATGAAGCCGAGATGACGATCGATGGCGTGTTTAACCTTTGACACACAGCCGCATTGTGTTAACAGTTAGTCGGGGATCATTGTGCAATCTGTCCTGTATATCGTTGAGAAATGAAACGTAGTTTGTTTTCTATGACAAAGAAACATTGAATTGCTACGATAAATAAAATTAAGTAAGATATAGATTCGGCGGAAACGCGCAGATAGAACGGCGGGAATAAAAATCTCCATTTCAATTTCACTACCTATTCGTGTTTTTTAGCAGTAAGAATTACGAGAAACAATTATTAATATAAAATTAGAATTTTGATTTAAAAAAAGTTACAGTAAATTAATAATAAGGATAGTAATTAGACTAATTAGACAAGTACTGAAGCCTTATTTCCCATCATCCCGAGTTATATCAAACAGTATGTCAACATGTTCAACCACCTAGACACAATCTTACGCGTACAATAGAAAAGCGGACTCATACCGGCGGATAACGACGACGGTACAGAGAAAGAGGAGGACTTACTCGTCCTCTTCGTGTGCACGTTCATTCGTCATAATGCACGCGCCGCGGTAGGTATAATAGCTACACCCGGAGCTATAGCGATGCTTAAAGGCATCGCCAATTATCGCTGTGCATCCTCCCGACAAGAATCCTGTCCATGAAGGCGCATATACGTTCCCCCTACATCCCTCTCTTTTACGTTCCCCTTTTTATTCATCCTCCCCCCCTCGACCGTATAGTCCGTCCGCGTCATGATGACGACCATGCGTATCCATTAATCCGTCCGGTACAGCCGCGTTGCGTGCTCCGGAAAAGGTAGAGTGACCGTATCTTAATCCTCTCTCTTGTACTTCAAAAATATATCTACGTGATACAGATTGTATCAAAACATAATATAATAAATACCCCATTGAACGTTCGTATTTTTTGAACTTGAAACTTGGTAACGTTAATCATAAAAATTGTCATATTTTAAATAAAAAGTTATTTGTATACTTTAAAGTTCCTTAATTACTATATTTATCTTTTATTATGGCGTTTGTGTGGAAAACAATAAGACGTATAATATAGTACGTCGTTAAAAACTATTAGACATTTCAAGTTTCGATTTTAGAGCACAGACGATTAGTGAATCGGCTCATTATGAAAATGTGATACAAGTTATTCAGCTTTCGTAATCGATATAATCGCTTCAATTTACTCTCATACACATATAAAGATCTATAAAACATTCCGAAACTAAGCGAACATTATTTTGAAAATACACGTGTAATGATTAGGAACGGAATAGTTGAAATACACTAGCGTAATTGAAGGATGTGCCTTTAGACCTCCCGCGAGCGTCGAAGGAGGGAAACTGGTGCAGGTGCGTGCCTTTCTGAGAGCCGATACGGGATTAGAGCGGATCATCTTCTCTCGGCGCGGCGAGTTAATTGGCCGCTCGTACACGCGCGCGGAAGACGATACTCGATCGCGAATGGCATGGTGACACGCACGTGGCAGCCGCTACACGCCGCTTCCGGCTGCCTGGCGGATGACGCGGTTTATCGTAATAATCGAGTGCACCGATTCGTTGCGATACTCGGGCGCGATTACGTCGAGCTGATGTAACTCTCCGGAAAATGTAACGTTATCCGGGCTCGTAAAAGTACATCGCGATGTTTTTATTCGATCTTCCTCTCGTAATGAAGAAATTCTAATAGCTTGTTACGGAAAAATTCCAAAGACAGTCTCGAGATTCCACAAGGAGGTACGTAAAAGCAGAAAAACATAAATATTATATATTCTGCAAGTTACTTGAGCAAGTACTTGAGATTTTTATAATTAAATTTAATTAAGATTACTTGCTGTAATATCTAATACTGAATTGATTAATTAAATGTTAAATTTATAATAACTGAAATTATTTTTATTTTCTAACAATTCGTGTTTCTTTTATCGCATAAAAGAAGCATTTATAAAGTAATTTTGAACAGTTTCTCGATGTCACAATATTAAAAATTAAAAAGTATCACTATAAGCAGAAAACTTACATTTTAGATTGAAAAATTTTCTTTGTCTGCGATATTCTTGCAAATTTTAATATTCTTTTTTGTTTTATAATATTGTACTATTGAATTGGAATTAGTATTATGTTTATGTGTATGGCTATCGAAATTTTGTAAATCGGCCCTGCTCACGCTCGATGAAAAACCAATATCTATAAAGGAGAGCAAGCGCGATCTTTGTAATAATCGTTTGCAGTGAGCCTTCTGCAGCTACGTACATAGTTTTACACTCTTAATCTCAAATATACCACTTTGTCCACTGTAGTCGATGTAAAGCGATCACGGCGGAGGTATACGCCGTTCCGTACCGCTCCAAATTGCAGAGTTTAGCGAAGAGATAATAACAGAGAACGGATAATCACGGCGTTACGCGCGAATGAGTGATGCCCGAAGGCGAGTACCATGATGAAAATCAGAGTGCCGATAATCAATGATGATCAGCGCTACATGATAACGGGTATTGAAGAAAACGTGGCTTTGCGAATAAGTAAACAATGATATTGAACATTTTTCAACCTATCTCCTGGCTTTGACGATCTTCAAGGCATTTGATCCTTCTAACGGTATTAGGAAAAACATGAATGTTGAATTTTATTTTTGTGACGTGAGAATAAGATTGGTCAAAGATTTGATGCTTGTGCAATTAAGAATTATATGAGTCTGATAATAATCGTCTTTTACTGCTAATTTCGTACAACTTCACAGATTCTAAATTATAGAAAATAAACTTTCCATTGTAGAAAATTGTAGAAAATAAACTTTCCATATAAATTTACGATTTCCTTCAAAGAGTTAAAGAATATTGCGTCTATTTCTTCAATTACAGACTCATGAAAGCTATTCAAATAAGCAATAATCATTCGCTGACTAATGTATATACGATTTACCCTATAAACGTACAAGTATAATACATTTGTGCATTCAAAATCTTTTCCTGCGAAAGATTGTGAGTCGCGGCGGTCTTTTCGCGTTTCGAAACGGCGACCGGATATTTCGGAAGTGACCTTGGAAATGTTGCGGCCAATGCGAGTCTCGTTGCGACCGGTTGACCCGCGAGCCAGTATGCCTTAAGCCTTATACGGCGAGTCACGGTGGCGCTAATAGGAAGTGTATCCTTGCCGGTTGATCCGTTCTCGGCCTCCGTCGGATAATTCCGAATAAAAAATTCTACCATCTAAGGGAGTCCTAAGGACCCCGCGATCGGCCGCATCCATGGGTTCACGGCGTTCTCCATATGCCGTATTAACGTTGCCGGCCCAAAACAGTCTCACCGCGAATCTTAAAATTAGTCATGCACTCGACAACGAAGGACGGTGTCGATGACTCGCGCGAATGTCCGGCCGATTGGACAACAACTTGGCTCCTTTGTGAATTGCCTATTTTTTCTTTCTGCCTTTCGCGCGATGCATTGAACGAACTACATTATTCTTGTCTTTTAAAAGCTTTGAAACAATTCGATAATAGCTTCTTTGTAGTCTCAGATAACTTTCGAATTAATGTTGAACAGTGAAAAAGACGAACGAGATTTGATGAGACAGGTCGTGGATATTATATTGTAATAATCACATAGTTAAAAAAAATACAAATATCGGCACGAAAAGAAGGTCTATTGATCCTTGAGTTTGATGATTGACAAAAATCTCTGTATGAAATATTCCAAGACATATTCAACGGCCTTCTTACGTTTCTCGAGGTGTCTTTCACTTCACGGCATTTTAACATGCGCAATCTCAATTTCCCTTTCGCAAGCAACAGCAGGAAGCAACGTTGAAACGCCGCGTCGTGCATCCCGCGCTATTAATTTCCCGCGTAACGTCCAGAAACGACGCGAAAACGCTCATAACATCGTCGCGCCTTCCTCCTGCGCAATTTCGCTAAAAATCGGACATTCTATATCGCCGTGATGCACCGGGTCGCGCGTAAAAGCGACGCTCGTAAGCGGAAGTGCACGACACGCTTAAGTGTTTCTCCCTTTTTCTCTGCTCGCCACGATTTCCGGACCCGGTAAACATATCCATAATGCAAGACGCAACGCACACGTTGTCAGAAATCGTCGGAGAAAAGTCAGATACGCCTTTACACATGTGTATACGCGCGCGCACGTGAGTGCGGCGACATCGCCATCGCGGTAAGCCTGATTCTATTACTGCTATTTGATGTTGCACCCACAGATATCGCGGCTATTTATACGGCGACCTTTGCTTTTTCCACCTGTCCTACTTGGGGAGATCCAAGGTATATACTGGATACGTACCTACTCACTCGAAGATTGTCTTCCGCGTGCAATTTACCCTTTCTTGTAAGATTGAAGATTATCGTGCAGATTATAATTAAGTGTTCTTCATTATACTATAAGTACCATATTTTCCATTTTATTCCTATCATTATCTTCTCGTCTCTT